ACTCACGACAGTTACAGGACATTTTGAGAGATGCTCATAGTCCCCTGGAACTAAATCTAGGAGCAAGGAGCAAAAACTGTCCTTTATGTCCTTCTGACCAAATTAGTATAGGCTTCAAAGTATGTCTGTTAAACATCCAAGAAGGTTAGTTGCACCAGTCTGGTTCTTTGAATTACCATGTGCCATGTAGATAAAGCTTGGGCAAAGACCAATTGTTCTCAGATAAACCTTAACTGACATATATTTCTTGATCTGGTATGTATAATTTGTCAGTAGGCTGTTGGAGTAATATGGTTCCCTCTGGTTTTGAAAACTAGCTAGGCATTATTTATCTCTCGCATTGTCTAACCCTTTCATCATAGTTTCCACGATTAAGGTGCCCTCATTTTTCCCATTTCTCCCTTAATAATACCCTTCTCCTATGGTCCTCCCTCTCTTGAGCTCCTTCTTTCCCTTTATCCCCTAGGTTCTTTGTGTACCCTTCCCTCCCCCCTCCTTAAACTAACCCAATTTTTATCCATATCTCCCTTATTAAGGCCTGTTTCCTACTGTTCTTCTCTTTCAGGTTCTTTCTTTTCCTTTACCTCCCTGTTTCCTTTCCATTATCCTGGTTCCTGTAGTTATGTCTGGATACATAATCACTTATCAGGATTTGGTGCTAGGATCCACATCCGAGGGAGAACATACGTCCTTTTTTTTTTTCTGAGTCTGTGTTACTTCACTTAGTATAACAGTTTCTAGTTCCATCCATTTACCTGCAGATTTCATGATTTCATCATTCTTTACTGCTGAGTAAAACTCCATCATATAAATGAACCACATTTTCATTATTCACTTGTCAGTTGAGGGACACTTAGGTTGCTTCCATCTCTTACTATTGTGAAAAGAGCAGCAACAAACATGGATGTAGAAGTGTCCTCTGCAATAGGATGAGTTCTTTTGGTATATGCCAAGGTATAACTGGTATAACTGGGTCAAATGGGTAGGTTCATTTGTAGTTTTTTAAGAGTTCTCCACACGACTTTCCATAGGGGTTGAACAAGTTTGCACCCCACAAGCAGTGGATAGCATTCCTCTTTCCCCACATCCTCTCCAACATTTGGTACCATTTGGTCTCTTGATCTTAGCCAGTCTGACTGGGGTAAGATGAAATCTTAAAATGGTTTTAATTTGCATTTCCCTAATTACTAGTGATGTTGAAAATCTTTTAAGATGCTTTTTAGCTGTCTTTATTTCTTCTTCTGAAAACTCTGTTCAGCTCCTTAGCCCATCTTTTAATTGGCTTAATTCCTTTCTTGATTTTTTGTTCTTTGAGTTTGTTATATATTCTGGATATTACACCTCTGTCAGATGCATCGCTGGTGAAGATTTTCTCCCATTCTGTGGGTTTTCTCATCACTTCCCTGGTTGCATCCTTTGAGGGTACAGAAGTTTTTTAGTTTAATGAGTTCCCTTTTGTTGTTTCTTGGGCAATTGATGTCTGGTTTAGAAAATCCTTTCCTACACCTATATCTTGTAGATTTTTGCTAAGTTTTTCTTCTAACAGTTTCAGAGTTTCAGGCTTTACATTGAGGTTTTTGATCCATTTGAAATTAACTTTTGTGCAGGGTGAAAGATAGGGGTTTAGTTTCATTCTTCTGCAAGTGGAGATCCAGTTTTGCCAGCACGTTTTGCTGAACACGCTGTTTTCCCTCCAGTGAATGTTCTTGGCCCCTTTGTCAAATATCAGGTGACTGAAATTGCATGTACTCATATTTGGGTCTTCAATTTTGTTTCATTGATCTATGGGTCTATTTTTGTGCCAGTACCATGTTGTTTTTATAACTATAGCTCTGTAATACAGTTTAAAATCTGGTATAGTAATCTTCCCGGCATTGCTCTTAGTGCTTTGGCTATCCGAGGTCTTTGGTGCTTCCATATGAATCTTAGGATGCTTTTTTCTAATTCTGTGAAAATTGTCATGGGGATTTTGATTGGCATTGCATTGAATTTGTAAATGGCCTTTGGTAAGATGGTCATTTTCACAATATTAATTCTTCCAATCCATAAGCATGGAAGGTCCTTTCATCTTCTGATGTCTTCCTCAGTCTCTTTAAAGATTTAAAATTTTCATTGTAGAGGTCTTTAATGTCTTTGGTCAGGTTTATTCCGAGATATTTTATTTATTTTTTTGCAGCTATTATGAAGGGGAGTGATTCCATGAGCTCTTTCTCTGATTGCTTGTTATTGGTATATAGAATGGCTACAGACTTTTGTACATTAATTTTGTAACCTGCCATTTTACTGAACATGTTAATAATTTCTAGGAGTTTTCTGGTGGAATTTTTGGCATCTCTTAGATATAATATCATATCATCTGTGAAAAGGGATAATTTGATCTCTTCTTTTCCAGTTATTACTCCTTTAATTTTCTGCTCTTGTCCTATTGCTCTTTCAAGAGTTTCAAGCACTATGTTAAAGAGAAGTAGGGATAGTGGACCAGCCTTGTGTGGTTCCTGATGTCAATGTGAATGCTTCCAGTTTTTCTCCACGTTGGCTGTGGGTTTGTTATATATGGCTTTAATTATGTTGAGGTCTGTTCCCTCCAGTCCAATTCCCTCTCGGACTTTGAACATAAATACATGTTGAATTTTCTCAAAGGCCTTCTCTGCATCTATTGAGATGACCATGTGGTTCTTGTCTTCAAGTCCATTTATATGATTTATGACATTTATTGACTTAACGTATATTGAACCATCCCTGCATCCCTGGAATAAAGCAGACTTCATCATGGTAGATGATCTTTTTGATGTATGTCTGTATGTGGTTTGCAAGTGTCTTGTTGAGAATTTTTGCATCTATGTTCATTAAGAATATGAGTCTATAGTTTTCTTCTTTGATTTTATCTTTATCTTTACCTGGCTTTGGTATTAGAGTGATGCTGGCTTCATAGAAGGAATTTGGAAGTTCTCCCTCCATTTCTATCTTTTTGAATAAATCAAGTAGTATTGGATGTAATTGTTCTTTAAATGTCTGGTAGAATTCTGCTGTAAATCCATGTGGTCCTGGGCTTTTTTTCATCAGGAGGTTTTGTATTACTGTTTCAGTTTCTTTTTGTGTTATGGGTGTGTTTAAGCTGTTAATCTCTTCTTGGTTTAGTGTTGGTGGTTCCCATGCCTTTAGATACCCGTGCATTTCTTTTAGATTTTCAAATTCAGTAGCATATAGGTTTTTAAAGTATTCCCTTATAATGTTCTGTATTTTTCTGGTGTCTGTTGTGATGTTTCCCCTTGTGTCTCTGATTTTGTTGATTTGGAGATGCTCTTTCTTTCTTTTTGTTAATTGGGCTAGAGGTCTGTCAATCTTGTTTATCTTTTCAAAGAACCAGCTCTTGGAATTGTTGATTCTTTGTATTGTTTTCTTTGATTCAATTTCATTGATTTCTGCCCTGATTTTTGTTATTTCTTCTTGTCTACAGGGTTTGGGTTTTGTTTGCTGTTGCTTTTCAAGTGTGTTGAGTTGCAGTGTTAAGTCATTTATTTGTGTTATTTGTGTTCTTTCCGATTTTTTGATGTAGGCACTTAGAGCTATAAACTTCCCTCTAAGGACAGCTTTCAGCATGTCCCAGAGGTTTTGTTGTGTTGTATTGTCCTTTTCATTTAGTTCCAGGAATACTTTTATTTCTTTCTTAATTTCTCTTTTGATCCATTCATCATTCAGGAGTGTGTTATTTAATCACCATGTGTTCATGTGATTGCTAGGGCTTTTTCCAGTGTTGATTTTAAGCTTTGTTGCATGGTGGTCTGATAGAATGCATGTAATTATTTCAATCTTTTTGTATTTGTTGAGATTTGTTTTGTGCCCCAATATATGGTCGATTTTGGAGAATATTCCATGGGGTGCTGAATAGAAAGTATATCCTTTGGTGGTTGGGTTGAATGCTCGGTAGATGTCTGTTAGGTCCATTTGATATATGGTATTCTTTAATTCAGATGTCTCTCTGTTAACTCTCTGTCTTGTTGATCTGCCTCATGGAGACAGTAGGGTATTGAAGTCCCCCTAATATTAATGAGTTGGGACTAATCTGGGTCTTAAAGTCCTGTAGTACTGTTTTTATGAAGTTG